ACCTCTGCCCTTTATTCTTCTTGTTCTTTAGATTGACTCTGGTTGGGGAAGGGGACAATGGTGAAGAAATGAAAGAGAATCAGAGAATAAAAAAATCCTTGTAGGAAACCTGATAGTGGTCGTGTTTAATTTTGCAACTTAACATGGATCAATGTTGAAATGAAACCTCCTCACAACATACAATTTACAACCGATTTAAGACCAAATTATTATCCCTTTTCTATTAAGAGTAACACATTTTAAAAAGGCTTCTGTGTCTATGTTTCAAAAAGTGAACCAAGGGCTTACAGAATTATGTCAACTAGAGCCCAAGGGTATTGAAAGAGAAATTGCTTCAGCTTGCCTGGTGATCATGAAAATCGGAGGTAATCACTTGTCATCTGACAACTGAAATAAATAGATGGGGTGGGGAAGAAAGGGGGACACCTGGGCAATTAAATTCTTAATAGTAAATTATTTACTACTCAACTATATTTAATGTGCTGAAGAACACAGTGGAATGTCATCCATTTCCATCTAAATTGCCTATTGTACCTCTCCTTTAGTTATTAAATTCGAAAATGCAGTTCTCCTATCTCCCCCTCCCCAAATCAAACATCCTCCCCAGTTCTCCACTCCATGCTGACTGAGTTTCCATTTTAAGCACTTACTTGAGCATTTAGGAGTATCTTCTTCTCACCAGGATGTAGGTATCTGAGCAGAAAAGAAAATTGTTCCTATTTCCAACTCAAAGGTGGTTATTTACATAAGCTTCTCTTTCATTTAAATCTGTCTTAATCCTCAAGGATTTAGTTGAAATGTAAAATATATTTTTTAATAAATGGAAAACCATAATAGAAAGCAAACAGTACTGAGGAGGAATTTTGACAAATCATCTTTAAAAAAATTTTTTGTTGTCCTGCTTAAGAGCAATGTGGTTTTAAGATGTTTGTATTATTTTTCAGTAAATGGTTAAAATTTATTTATATATGCATATAAAATTAAGGAATAGTCATAATTTCATCTGAAAGGACAATGTAGTCATTTTAATCTTATTTGAAACCCATCTCTAAATTCACAATAATTCTAAAAAGTTTTGAGTTTGATAGCCAAATTGAAGAAAGTTGATTTATATTATCTCTTAAAGAAATATATCACGACAGAGTTAACGATAAGCTAGTGTTGTTGCAAGAGCATGACCAATGTGGATTTTCACATACAAGAATCTATGAATGGCTTAGTTGCAAATTCGTAAAACTGTCTCCCCTTGTGGGGTGCCAATTTTCAGAGCTCTGTTCTGCCCCAAATGACTTGCCACAGAGCAAAGACAAGGCAAACACTCTTGGTTGGTACCCATGATAAGTTCTTTAGAGGGAACTACAATGTTAAGAAAATAACAGGTTCAAGAACCCTTATATAGGGATGGTTCTGTAAAACCCTTAAGGTTTTAAGGAGGATGGGAGCATTGTCTCCTCACCTAACAGAGGGAATAACAAAAGTGAAAGCCTTCAATCTGCAAAGTGCTCTAGGAAAGAAAATGCCAATAGGCCTAGAGCTGAGGGGTGGGGTAAAGAGGCTCAAATAGAGTTGGAGAAGTAGGCAGGAGCCAGACTTTACTGGATCCTGACTTCAACTGGATAGGTTGATTTTTACCAGGGTATATAGCTAGCTTGCATGTTGGAAACTCAGAAAACCACATTGCCCACTCTTTGAAAATATTTCTCTGGGCTACAAAAAACATAAATGGGGCTTTTTTTGTAGGCCTCAATGGGTTGGGGCGCAGCACTGCAAGCTAGTGGCAGCTGCTTCAGTGAGAGTTCGATCCCCTGCCTGGAGGTGACCCACATGGTGCAGATTTTTTTCCCTTCTCGCCAGCCGTTCCCCTCAGCAGTGTACTTTGTCAATCTGCCTGTTCTGCACCCTACTGTATTTCTGGTGAATCCTCTCGCCATCCCTGCACCTCTGGCCAGTACCCCATTTCTGTATCCATTAAAAAACAAAAACAACCTATCACTTAGTTTTGTGGTGGAATTAAATTAGATAATGTTTATATAGGTGCTTACCTACTGAGGTAGGTTAAAAAAAGAAAGGCTACTATATTATTTCCTCTGTGCTTCGTAATAGATGAAGATAATTTGATCCATTGCTAATGATAAAGGCTAAGAGTAGAAGCTTGGAAAAGAGGCACCACAAGACCAGAAACCTGGCTCACACACAAGGCCAAATGTTGGAGGTAAGGGTAGAACAGATTAATATAATTGTTTAACCAGCTATAAAGATGGAAAATCCTTAGGCGCCAGTATGAGACTACTATAGAAAGTATCCTGAGGTACAGACCCGAGGGGGCGTGGTATGGAGATTGTTTATTATATGCCAAATGAAGATAAACCTCACCAGTGTACTTTGCACTAACATAGTACTTTGTGCTGACTAATCTCTGTTGAAGAATGATCGGGGAATAGACTCTAAGTGACTTTATTCTGGAAACTCCTTAGCTCAAGTCTGGGAATATTATCATTACTAATGCAGCTGCCAGCCAGAATAAAAAGGCATTGCCATGAAATCACTTCTGTACTGAAATAAAGAAGCTTATTCTCAGGACTGTAAGAGAAGGAAGCAAGCATGGAAAATCATGCAGATGTAAATCATGTGCAGAACTCAGGTTTAAGACCCTCTCTGAGCATACAATGATAGGGCTCAGGTAGGTTTCATTATGAGAGTCAGTAAAGCTGAGTGAGTGGCTCAGGTAGGTTTCATTATGAGAAGTCAGTAAAGCTGAGTGAGTGTGCAGTGTGAATATTGGTGCTCTGCCCAGATTCTTTTTAGCATCCACACTCTATCCTCTTGATCTTTCTTTTGCTCCCAAAAGTCAGTACCCTTTTTCTAGACGATTTAGCCTAAGCTGCTAGAGCCTGCTTTGTTGGGAGCACAGAGTGGGACATGTCTGCGAGTGATACCATCTACTTCCTAATCCAAGACTGAGAGGTTGGATTATGAAAACACTAGGCTTGCCCTCCTCCGCCCGACTCCCCGCCCACAGGCACACATAGTAGTTCCTTGACTTTATCAGGCTGGAGTTATCCTTGTTGAAAACTCCAGTTTATTTTGGATTCTGCCTCTTCCTGCCACTGCTCTTTCCTCTTCCTTATATTTCTCCAGGAAAACACTGCCTTAATAAATCACTAGACATTTGCTGCAGTTTAGGAAATATTAGCAGGTTCTGCAAAGGCAAATTCTCTCCAATATTCAAACTGTGCCTTTTCATGAGTTTTTGAATGTAACTTTATCAGTTTAATATTTAAACCTGTAATTCCCTCATGTCATTTTCTTGATTTTAGTAACATACTTGTGAAAAGACTGAGCTCTTTACAAATTATCACATAATTTTCTAGACTTATCCCCTTGTCCATTAAGAGAAGCAATAAAATGCTTTACTCTTTTAGCTAAGGTAAGTGCATAGCTCAATGAATTGAATTTACAATGTGAATATTCATACACATAGCTATGCTTGAAACATGTTGATTCAAATTACCTATTTTTACACGCAATCTCCCAGATCTCTTGGAAATGTATTTCTAATTTACTTAGTGATCCTTGATTTTAAGGAATTGGTTGAGGTTAACTTACAGAATCAGGTAATACACCAGTTTACATAAATAGCTAAGAAGTAAATACATTGAGTTATTTAGAGGTATTTAGCGTACCTCCTAGCTTTCATACTTTTAAAAAACATACTTAAAAAATTATACGTTAGGGGGCCCTCCCTGGTGGTGCAGCGGGTTAAAGCACAGCACTAAGAAGCTTAAGCCACTTCCACGAGTTCGATTCCCGCCTGCCCCGGAGGAGATCCACATGGCGTGGCAGACCTCTCCTGAACCACCCGCTGCTCCCCTCAGCAGTGTACTTTGTCCATCTGCCTGTTCTGCTCCCCGCTCTGTCTCTGGTGGTGAATCCTCTCACCCTCTGCATCTCTGGCCTGTACCCCAGTTCTATATGAATAAATAAATCTTTGAAAAAAAATTATACATTAGGGCCTTCCTGGTGGTGCAGGAGTTAAAGTCTCAGTGCTATCAAGCTATCACCAGCCACTGTTGCATGAGTTCAATCCCCAGCCAGCAGGGATTGTCTCACCCACTGCTCCCCTCAGCAGTCTGTAGATCTGCCAGTTCTGCTCCCCACTCTGGCTTTCGTGAGCCACTCTGCCTCCTTTGGCTCTTTCACCCTTTTGCCCCATCCTCACCCCCATACCTCTGGCTTAGACCCAGTTCTTGTGTGCATGTAAATCTGTAAAAATTCTACATCAAATTACTGTGTCTTCAATTTAATCGCCTTCCTGAAGACATGTTTAACTTATTTGTTTTCTGGCTTACATATATAGTGGAAAGAAGGTAATGATAGAGGAAACCAACTTAGGTAGGTTATGTGGGGTAAACTTTCTCTTTAGCCTTGTAGTCCCCATCTCGTATCTTTATTGGCAGGTTTAACTGGGAGCAGGGTAAAGAAATGTTATTTGCAGAATCCCAATGTCAGTGTCACATACAGAATATAGAAGGGTGCTTTTGGATCTAAGAGAGAACTTTAATAACTGGTACACATTCAAATTACTTTAAGTTTATTTTTATTAATTTTACATAAAATCGTTTTTATGCATATAATTTATCTCAGATCACTTTTACTCATTTGCTTTTTTGCTAGACCACATGAAATATAAACAATGTAGGTAATTCCAAATAACAAATCCAACCACGTATTTGCATACTACTTAGGCTGACAGATTTATGATATTGAGCATCTGTTCTATATAGTGAGTTAAATACAAAGATGAAGATAGGAATCCTTTGTCTTTGTGGATTTCAGGGGGTAAAAAAGACTAGTTTTTTGAACACTAGTATGTTCTAGTAATAATCTAAAATTGAAAGTATAACTACCAGCATAAATTTCAGTGGCATTTACCAGTTATGAACAGTAAATGATTCCTTAGCTGCTATAGAGGAATACCTGAAGGAGTCATTATCTTTTTCTTTTGTCATGAAAACAGGTTGTTCTAATTTCATGCAATGACATTAAACTGTTAACAGCATTATTTGTAACCTACTTTATGTTAAAATCTAATTATCCACAAAGCATGACCTACTAACCTCAAAAATTAAAAAATATGACAAATGTTTAATTGCCTAATGTAAATAATATTTAAAAATATATTCTGAAGTAGACTAACTCTTATCACAAGATTGATTCTCATACTCTGTTAAGTGTGAGACAATTGTGCTTCTCCTTGTAACATTTTCCAGCTTTATTACTGTTCATTGGTTGAAAAAAAAGAAATTCACAACCCATCAGGCAATTGGAAAACATGCAAATTTCAACAGAGACAAAATAGTAGCTAGAAATTAAAAGAGTCTGAGTCATCTTCATTTTAATATATAGTTTATTTAGAATGCAGCACTAACAGCATGATGTCACAAATCTGTACCAAGAAGCACACAATCTTTAAAACTTGTCTTTCACATGTAATTTAAGTATAGCTTATTATTATTTGGTACTATAGTCAAAGACGACATTTAGATTCTTCAGCTTTGGGGCATTTAGTAACATGATTGAAATCAAAATGATTGTCTAGTCAGGCAGAGGAAAGAAATTCAAATGCAGTTTCTTTTTCTTCTGCTAGTTCCTTTGCAGTAAGATCCATCTTCTCACGTGAGAAATCATTAATAGGGAGACCTTCAACAACTTTCCAGGTCTTATTCTATTTGAAAATAATTGCAAACAAGAGATTTATAATTAAATTAGAACCAATGTCCTCACCAAGTAATGACATAGTTTGAATCTTAAATTTAGAAGAGGACCTGTCCTAAAGTATAACATACTTTATCATAAAGATGCAAATCAAAGTCTAGATCTTAATTCACAGATAATTCTGATAAATATGCATTGCTTAAACGTAAAACTCATTTAAGATAGAAATGATCTCTAAATAAGGTTTTAATTAGCCAACATAAAAAATTATGGAGTTGTAAAGTTACCATAGACTGTAATACTGAGAACCATTGTTTAAATGCTACTAAAGGCAGGTTAATCCTAATACCAGATCATCACAATCTAGTGGGAAAAGTTGAATCCTGCTTTGAGGACTAATTTCAATGTTTTAGTAACGTGAGCTTGTGCTTCTGACAATTTTGAAGCACAAAAATAAATGTCTAAATTAGGAAAGAGACAAGTCTCTAGACTTAATTACATCATTCTCTACAAAAACATCTGCATACTTTCCCAGTAGAGTAGAGACGGTAAATAAGCCCAGTACCCTACCTTGATTGTCACAGGGAATGAATAGAGCAGATCTTCGGGAACACCATAGGAATTACCATCAGAGATAACACCCATGGACACAAATTCTCCCTAAAAGAACAATATCTTACATTACACAGTACTTAGTCATTGGTACACAATTGGCACATAACTTGCAACACTAAAGATATGCTATGTATACAACTTCTCATATAAGGGTTCATCATTAGGCACTTCCATGACAGGGTAATTTTCATGGGTATTATATCTCACTTCAATTTTTCAATTCATGTGTGAAGTAGGCCAGAGAAACTAATCTTCATTCTATAAATGAGGACGTGTGGCTTACTATAGGTTTTAAGATGAAACAAAACCAAACCAAACATAAAAGTCACCTTATAATGTATGCTAGCTGTTTCCCATGTATCAGCTAAGTCCCTTAAGCCTGTGAGGAAAATGCTACAAAAACAGATGACGGGACAGTTCAGAGAGTAAGTGACTTTCCCAAGGTTATTCAGACAGTAGGCAGCTGTGAGATAGGATGTGAACCTAATCGGCCTGGTGGCCAAGGCATCTTTACATTAATAGCAACAGTGGGAAAAAGAAATCAGAATGGTCTGTGCAAACTCCTAAGGTCTTACCTCTGGGGTTCCAAACCAGATGTCTCTGACATGGTCACAGATGGCTTTTGCAGCAGACATCGCACTGGAGAGTTTCCGAGCCTTGATGACGGCAGCACCACGCTGCTGCACGGTCTGGATGGAGGGAGGCAAAGACAGTTGTGTTACTTGATCAGCAGAATTTTTATCAATTCCAAACTGACCATATGGTGAAAGCCTGCAACCAAAGCACAATCGTGCATCTAACCTATTTCAATTAAAAGTACTCATCTCTTTGAAAAGAGAAAATTACAAATCCCCACATTGACAGACTTCAAAGAAATGGACCACAGTATAAAGATAACCAGATGACCTGAGAGTACTCTAGTTCCACCTCCCTCCTTGCAGTCAATCTTGACTGCCATGAAACAGATCAGTGCAGGGTGAATTTTGGTTGACTTAGTATCCTAAAAGAAAGCATGAAGTTATCAGAGCAACTGCGAAAAGCCTATTTTCCTTGATTCTCCACCCTATACCCCTAACCCTTGGAGAAACACGCAGGTCAGCAATGTGGTGACCTGTATTCCACAGCTTGTCTGTTAAGAGAACTCCCAGATTTTTCTTACGGTGATAAAGTCTCCCTTGAGCCAGCTGTCATTTTTCAGAGCTTCGTAAACTCCAACTTCCTTTCCTTGCAGCTTCACCTTGGCATGATTGACATCTGGATACTGAGTTGAGGAATGGTTTCCCCAAATAATGACATTCTTCACATCATTAGAAGTGACACCAAGTTTAAGAGCAATCTAGTTAAAAAGAAAATAGACTACTTAGATAACGTCTTTTATTTAATTGCAATTTCTTGACAAATGCTCTTAAGATAAAAGGCGCGGACACTTCAAAAGAACACAGTAGTCACACTAACTTTTTAAATGTAGGTTTTACTGGTTGGCATTTTTTTGCAATAGTTTTAGTAGTAAAACAAAGCTGTGAATTTGAAACAGGGTAGAATAATGAAGCAGAATGTAAAAGTAGAGAATACCCTACACTTTGTGATTAACTTATTAGTACAATGGGTTCATCAGATATAAAACACCAGGCAAGAAGTCAATATTGCTCAAGTATTTAAATGGGACCTCTATTTGGTCACATTCGTGCTTATTTGGAGATGTCTCAGTACTCTGCACAATCAGGTATTTGGGTATCTTCTCCATTATTTAGGTACAATTTTTATTATGTATCATAAGCAAATAATATTACAAAAATCCTAATTAGGAAGTTTTGGAGCCTGAAGGGGCTCACCTTACCAAAGTATGACTATCCTGATTTTATAGATCAGAACACTGAAGGAGCATTACATGTAACATGCATATAACACTAAAGTTATTAACACATAACAATCTTAAAGTTCAGAAAGTATTGAAGGTCCTGCATGGTAAGAACATCCATTATATTTACATAGTACCACAGTCATAGAAAGGATGAAGAAGTTACATTTTGAAAGATTTCAATGAAAGGAAATGAGTTTGCTTATTTTGTTATTTGCTTCATAAATATATATGCAAAATAAAGTTATGTTAGTTGTGTGTATATTTTGTTCATAAATTAGCAAAATCTATGATGGGCTGGAAGGAAACATTAAAGAAAAAAATTAACACTGATATGTAAGGGGATATTTACATATATATATATTTATACATTTCATAAATATATATATAATTTTACATTTTATATCCAAAAGGGCAGGTTTATTATAAAAGGGGAGAGAATAAAGGATACTTGCACAGACATGAGTGGGCAGAAACAGCAGCCCCTGAAAGGGAGGTATGCAAAGACAAACATCTGCACAGTCATAGGCAGACAGAAAGGCTGCTCAGGGGGACAAATACAGATCAAGTATTTCTTTTTTGCTATAAAAAGAATGGGGAAAAAAAGAGTGTGCCAGAGGCTATGGCTTTTGAATAAATAAATACAATCAGTACTGCACCAAAGTTTTATCTGAACATTCATCATCTAATTAAGGATATTGTTATACTGACATTTTAAAGGAATTTATAACATAAGAACAGTAATAACCCCAAATAGAAAAAGTTCTTCAAGAATGGGTACACTTATTGGTACATACACACAACGGAGTAAGTGGAAAACATTAAAAAGGAATGAACTACTGATAACAACAACCTAGGTGAATATTAAAAGTATTAAACTAGTGGGGGAAAAGATCAGTCTCAGAAAAAACATCAATCTCAACAGGCTACGTAACATTCTCAAAATGAAAAAATTAGCGATAGAGAACAGCTAAGTGTCAGGGTTCAGGAATGGAATGGAACTGTAACTATAAGAGGCAGCAGGAGGAGTTCTTCTGTAGGTGATGGGACAATTCTGTATCTTGACTGTGGGGCTTGCAGGGATTTACATGTGTGACTAAACGTCATGGACTTATTCACAAAAATATACAAAGAAATGGTTTCACCATTTCACATTAGTTTATTCAGTGAAAACGTGAATTATCTTTACTTTCTCTATGACTTTTAAACTAAGCTGATACTCATTTCATAAATTTCAAAATAGATACATTTAAAAAATTAACTTCAAAATCTGTTTTTGACTTGTAAAATCACTTCTGAAATAATTTTGGCTTCATCTAGAGTTCCCCAAATATTAAGACTATTAACTACATATCAATCTTCACAAAACTAGCTGGATGGTTTCTGGGGCAACTCAACTAATAATAAGCTTGGTGGCTGAAACAGTGGTATCTATATATTAAGTAACATTTTCTGCTGTGTCATGACTTGAAAGGAATTGGGAAGAATTACCCTTACTTAAATTTAGCTGGTATCACAAAGAAAAAGGGACATTTATACCTGGGCAAGTAACAGAAGGTGTATCTTGACAAGAACTCAGAATCCTAGCTCCAAAGTACAGAGAAAGTACACTGACTGCCTTGAGGTCTTGGTCTCCTTTTTCCTTTGTCCCTGTTGTCTACTTTGTTCTCTTAGTCAGAGTGTCAAACCACTTTCATATGAAGGGCAAAGGCCAGGTAATTTGTACTCAAGAGATGTTAGTTTCTAAATTAGCCATGTCAGAGTTTGTCTAAATTAATGTGTATCAGGATAAGTTATTTGCTCCTTAGACACTTCCATTTCTGTCATACAGATCTATTAAATTGTTTTTGACAATTTCTGCCACCCTCCTAATTTTCTTCCTTATAACACCAATTAACTGGTTTCATTGCCAAATCACTTTTGTCACTGACACACATGCAGTGCTGCTTTGCAAATACACAGGGGAATTCTATAGGCGACAAACAGTTACTAGGTAGTTAAGTCCTCTGAGTTCCAAAACAAATTACGAAAGACTAAAAACCACTACGTAAAATAATTAGTCTTTGGTTTTGTTATTTTTCTCTCTGGATTAACAACTTCTATAGGAGGAAGAAACTGTTTCTTCAGAAACTTCCTAAAAACTCTCACTGTGCCAGAATGGCTTGCCAGAATACAAGCCAAAAGTTAAAGTTTGACAAGATAGCTTTCTCAACTTTCCTCATTCAGACTTTAGCACCTATACAAGGAAAACTGTTTCAGGCATGGGGACAAAGTGTCACTTAGCAGTACCTTTGGAAGCAGAATTTTCCAAAGCCTGCCTCTGCAAGACCTTGGGAAGTGGTGAAGAGGAAGGTCTGCTGGTGTCATTTTTACCCCTTTTCCTTTGTTGCATCTAAGTAACCACTTGGTAGTCAGGAGTTCACAGCTATAGAACCTGTATCTTTTTCTTCATCAGTTCCACAGTGCCCAAATCCCTGCCTCCACTCATTCAAACATCTAGTCATTAGACTCTACTTAAATTAGCAAGGAAAAAGCCCAGACCACAGCCCAAAGCCTTTCAGAGAATGTTAAAGGAGATATTTATTAATTTCTCAATTCTAATCTATCTCCCCCTTACTACTTTTAAAAATTCAGTGATAACAGTTAACCTTTATTATAATTTCCCTACATTTCCAGCAGCATAACAATGAATTAACATAGACCTTATTTAATCCACAGAGTATCCTTTGTGGTCAATATAATTATTATCTCACTGTAGGTTGAATATACTTTCTCAAGCTCACAGAGCTAGTATGTGAATTTAGCTCACTTGTGTTCATTGTGTAAGAATATACACAAGGGTTTACAATTAGGTAAATCTAGGTGGCTCCCATTATTTACTAGCTGTAGGACTCTGAGCAAGTTTCCCGAACTTTCTGGGTTCCAGATTTCTTATGTAAAAGAGAATAATAATGCCTATGGTCACTATAAGATTTTAACGACAAATTACATGTAAAGCAATCAGTTTAGAGTGAGAACTCTACAAATAGTATTTTCTCCTTCACCAGACAACCCCAGGTAGAAAATTACTAATCTTAGTTTAAGTCAGAGATGCCAAAACTAACTTAAATACACCGCACACTGTATTTTGGTAAAACCAAAATTTTCTTGAAACAAAATAAAAGTGTCTTCTCTAGAAGAAAAAGGAATATCTATCCATAATAGATAGATCTATGGAAAGGTACAAAAGAAAATGTAAGAGATATCTGAAAACTAGACCTTTGTCGTGACTTGCGTGGACACCATGACACCTGGATCTGAGAATGCCCAGTAGACTCGTACAGATGAAGGGAATGTTTCTATCAATCCCCAGGTCACCCACTCCTTGGTGTTATCTGTCTAAGGCTCCAAAGGGGAGGGAAACTTGACAACAAATAATATTTAGCTGCTAAGTAGTACAAAGTAGGAAGTCTTTGGGAAATGTTGAGCATCAATATGTCACAAAATTAAACAAGAAACTAAAAATATCAATTTGATAACTCACAGCAAAGGAGACAGACCACAAATACACAAAGCTCAAGTCTTTATTATGTTGGACCAAAAAAACCTAAATTATCCTATGAACTATCAAGCACACTTAATTATATACTTAGCAAATAAAATATAGTTGAAGGGAGTAAAGCAGGAAGTTCAGTCTCTGGTCCTTTGAGTCTAGATTAAAAGATTTTTCAACAAACTGACAGCTTCCTACTGAACAAAAACAAAATCACAAACTAAAATTCCACTACTTTAAAAATTAACAGAAAAGGTACTAAAGTTGAAGAATCATCAAGTTTTAAAAGGCATTTCTCTTACCTGAGCTTTAGCTCTGTTGTGATCCAAACGAGTCAAGCAGCTGAAGTTCTCCTTGGGGATGGACGGCGCTGATTTGGAGGCAGTCAGGCAGTTAGTATTGGCCGGGTTGCCCACCACGACAACCTAAGGCAAGCACAGTTGTTACAGACCGTAGACTGATCTGAGATGAGTGACAAGGAGTATCATGCAGCTTTTCTATCAAACTTCTATGAGCTAAATAGTTACAGTCAGAGGAGACACTTAATTGTCGGAATCGGTGCTGAGAAATGCTGGGCTGGGTACATGATTTCCTTGTGGTAAGATTCTTAGAGTGTGATTCCAGGCCTAGCTGGTATAGCCTATGAAGCACCTGGGGGGCCTACTGGGACCGTCGTTGTCTCTGTGGCTCCTCACTGACAGAAACATCACTAGATGACACATGACAGTTACCAAGTAGTTTCAACCCTCTCTTCTAAAAACATTTTTCCTTGTTAGTGACTGGCATGACTACTGAGAATACTTCTTTAATAAAGTCACCATTATGTAAATGGGTCACTTTCTAGGTGGCAATGTCCAAGACCTAAAGTACATATATTTGTACTATTGTTTTTTTTTTTCTTGCGGGGAGGGGAGACGCGGGGAGCTGTGGGGGGAGAAAAGGGTCAAACAGAGACATAACATATACCTATTATGTCGCAGTTTGAGTTATTCATACTATTTTCTTTCTCATAAAAGTAGTTTAACAAAACAATTCTAATCAAGTTTATTTAGGACAATAATTTGTGTTTCCCAGTCTTGTCTTATTCTAAGAATTAACTGGGATATTTGCTAAAATAAAGACAACCTATTTTCCCACCTACTCTGCAGCTATTAAACCAATCTTTAGCAGAGAGTACTTCAGGCTACTTTTTTTTATGTGGAAGTAATGGAAGACAATCAATTATAATAAAGTACACACATGGACATACACACATGGAGTTTTCAAGTTTTAAAAATCTTAATGACAATTTTAAGGTTTATTATGAAATAGTATCAAGCTTATAGAAAAGCTGCAAGCATATTATAAAGACTAATTCTACATTTCCTTTACTCAGATTTCTCTGATTTCTACCATCTCTCTCCTCTCTCTTATGTGTGTGTGTGTGTGTAACCTCAGTGCCTTTTGGACCCATTTGAAAGCCAGCAAATACTTAATGCTGAAAGTCAACATTCAATACTTAAATGCTCCAGTATCAGTGTATACTTTACAGGCACACTTTGGTTGAGAGGATTATTCCAAGCAATCTGTATTTTAGCAGTCCAAAAAGCCTTATAATATTTTGGTAAGAAATTTGTAGATTTCTACTCAAGTTCTTTCTATTATTTTTGTTCATGATTATGGGAAATAAAAGTTAACTATTAGAAGTACACAAAATACCTGTATACTTATAACAGAATATTGTAATTGGCAATCTTAGAAATCTTACAAAATTTTCTTGTACCTTTTTTTAACATTAGAAGAGGAAGAAATATATCAAAATTAGTAAAACCTTTAACCAAATCAGTAAAACCTTTATCAAAATTAGTGAAACTTGTGATAAGTTTGAGTTAATTGCTATAAAGAGGCTTTACTGTGGGCCGTCCCTGGTGGCGCAGTGGGTTAAAGCACAGCACTAAGAGGCTAAAGCCACTTCAGCATGAGTTTGATCCCTGCCTGCCACAGAGGTGCATGGCGCGGCAGACCTCTCCTGACCCGCCTGTTGCTCCCCTCAGCAGTGTATTTCATCAGTCGGCCTGTTCTGCTCCCCAGTCTGTCTCTGGTGAATCCGCTCACCACCCCTGCACTGTGGCCTGCACCCCAGCTCTGAATGCATAAATAAATAAATCTTAAAAAAAAAAAAAAAAGAGGCTTTACTGTAATATTCAGGTAAATTTAGAAACTAAAGTAAATAGCTTGAATGCAAAATAGCTCAGCTACTCAAGAGCTAAGTATAACATAATTTGTTTGGATTGAAAAAATGTAAGCATTCAGAAGCCACCATCTCCTATTGCTGAAAATGCATTTTACAGCAAAATCACAGCAAAATTCCAATGTCTGTTTAAATATTCCCACATAGTTAAAAAGAATCAGAAAGTTCTATCCTTTCTCTATAGGCTTACAAACTAATTAAAATACTAATAGGTAAAATATTTCAGCAAATCTGATCCCCTATTTCTACACTAATAGTGCTCATGAAAATAATAATAATAAAAAACAACTGTGTATTTACTGACCACTGTGTAGAAATAGAGGAAAAATATAGTAAGGCAAGCAATTTGTTTTCATTTAAATGTTGAAGGCAGGATGCTCACATACTGATAATGAAAATCCCCAATAAAATACAGTATCAGTCACCTTAACTGACTTCTTGGCATATTTATCCAGTGCTGCACCCTGGCATTTGAAGATTTTCACATTTGCTTTGAGTAAATCTTTTCTTTCCATACCATCCCTTCTTGGCATGGAGCCCACAAGAATGGCCACATCCAAGTCTTTGAAGGCAACCTCTTCCTTATCTGTTGCGATGACATCTGTGAAAGTGGCGATAAATATGCAAAGCTACTTAAACACCAAAGTCTGAAGTTTTCTTTTGTATCTATCATATAACTTTTGTTATATGAGGTTTTCTTTTATATCTATCATATAATTCACTTTGTAGAAAAATTTTATTATATATATCACACTGATAAAATTTTGAAGGGTCTAAGAAAGACTCTTTTAATTTAACAACCACAACATCAGTAAAGTCAATAAATTAACTTTGCTTTCCCCTATTTCAAAAATTACTTTTATCTTTTATAATCACATATAATTCAAAACATACTATAATCTTTGAAGCAGCATTTGTTGCTAATTGCCACAGATAACACAAGAGAAACTGATTTCCTCAGCCTTAAGTTACAATTCCTTTAAGGTCTGTCATACCAATAGCAAATTAAAAATTAATGTTTACTGAGGAGTTCTGTGCCATGGATGATGTGAAGAGACTTATAAAATTTCATCCTCACAATTTCTAGATGAAGACACTAAAGGTTTAAATACACTAACTAGATGCCATCAAAGGTAGTAACGTTGTAATTCTGGCTCAGGTTGGTCCAGAGTTCAACCACTATGTTACAGTGTTAGTCCAATAAACATACATCATTTGCTTTTTGATTAAGTACATATGTCATCACTTTTCTTTGCTGACAATATTAAAAATGTCATGACAGTGCTATAAACCCCTCACTGCAAGGTGATTAGGTCACAAAGGTAGAGCCCGCATGAGTGAGATTAATGCTTTTATAAGAGATCTCAGAAGTCCTTCACACTTTATTTACATCACGTGAGGACACAATGAGGTCACCATCACCTATGAACCAGGAATTGGGCCCTCATCAGATACCCAATCTGCTAGTTTTTTAATCTGACTTCCCAGCCCCAGAACTGTGAGAAGTAAATTTCCATTGATTATGAACCAGTCATCATTGGTAAATTTTAGACCACTGAAATTGTGTCAGTCATGCTGCTGTAAAACCCCAAATAGTTATATAAAGTTGGAAAAGAAAAACAGATCTTCCCAGTAAAGTAACCTTATCTGCTGAATCTCCCTTTTCCTGTCATATTCACAGTTGACCAAGACAACCTGACTATAACTTGGATCCAATAGCGAAAGCAGAGGGAAGTCAGGAGAGAAAAAAAAAATGGGCAAAAGCAGCAGAGGAAGATTTGTAAAGAGAAATGGGCAAAAAAAGGTAGTCAGCAGAATAGACTGGCACAGTAAAGCATTCTACTATACAACCAAATGATTTAGATGGCAGAGCACCCACATAGTAAATGTTTGTAGTAACGTAGTAAATGTCTATTGAATAAATGAATCCTGAAGATAGATCCTCTTGGAGAATGTATATATTTTGCTTTTAAGTACAGCTAAAGAAAAATATTCAAATTACTTTACAACTTGACCTGTTATTTTAATGAACCTTTAAAGCTTTGTCTTTAATCTGTTTAACTGAATAATTCTCAAAGGCACTTAGCTGGTATCTTGGTGGGCTTTTTCAAATTATGTTGTGTATAAGTAGGACAATATATATACTTGTCTCAACCTGATAGAAGGAATATTATAATTAGTGAAATAAATTATATATAACCATGTTGAAAAAGTATACTTTTACCATATACTAGTTATTTCTCACTTTTCCCCTTATTTACTTTTGATCTGCATCATTTTTAGTAGTTTAGTTCAAAGCACAGAAAGAAAATACTTTATGAAATAATTTCAACTGAAATAATTTCAAAAAACTAAAATCCATTCCTTAAAAGCGATTAGTACTATAAGATTCCTCTTTAACCCACCTTTCAAAAGGGGAAGGGCACAGTCTTGTAGTTCCATTAGGACACCGTCCAGGACACCCATCATGGGCGTGATATCCAACAACACAAGGATTATAGGCTATCAAATAACAAGGACATCTGTCAGTGTAAGTTATGTCATCTAGTCACGAAAAAGGCCTTTTGCATAGTTTTTGGTTATCTGGGTACATATCCCACTAATTAGTCATGATTAATTTAGGATGGCAGACACTTAACATCACATCACTCTCAGAAAAAGGAAAGCTGTAGAGCCAGAAGGAGAAAACATCATTAGTGCATTTGAAAGGAGTCCATGGAAGAAATATCATATTGAAGTGACATGGCAGTTTGCTCTTAATGTCAACAGATACCTGATTCTAGTTAATGGAAAAACATAGTATCTGACATAAAGAACTTACTGACCATGAATAAAGAGAATAAATACTTTAGGAAAGTGTTTTAAAATATACATTAATCAGACCTGCTGGAATAGGGGTTGACTACTTCACACTGGGAAGCACATTTTCAACTTAACAAAGTTCTCTGCCACATGACTTTCCCTAATGGTTACCATCACGAGTGAATACCTTCCATTGACACCTACCAACTGCATCAATAAAATATGTAGAAAAATTCTGATTTGCAGTATTTCCAATGCCTGGAGGGATACTATAATATTGTACCTTACCAGCTTCCTTTTATAGTCATGTGCCTATTACACTTAACAGGATAATCCAAGCCTACATTTCCAAACTTTTGTGCACCAAATTACTGGGTTTTATTTGAAATATTTTTACTTTGACATAAACTTTACAGACACTTGTTCATACCTGGTCTTTGCCAAAGACAGACCCATTTCCAATACTGTACAGCAATGAATATGCAATTTGACCAGCTGCTCCAGTCACAAGGACTCTGATTGGTTCCGGCTGTAATGAAAGAGATTTTATTAAATACTGCTATTACATAAGATTTTCTTTGTAAGACAACCATATACTTTAAAAGTTAACGTAAAATTGTAAAATTTAAGATTAATTAAATTTAAATTAATTGAAAAGTTAATGTAAAATTGCAGAGACTATTTAAGTCTCTTTGCATCTGGCTTAGTAGAAAACTAACTTATCCCAAAATTATCCCAGTAGATAGAGCTTGCACAAATCATCTCCTGGATTATATGTCCTTTGTTTGCACATTTTTATGTATTGTTATATAACTTCCTGTTATCATGGATTCTTTTATTTCATTTAGTCCACCTTCTTCAGGACCACTAAAATAGAACAATGTTAATAGAAACTATATGGTGATACAAACCCTAATGGCCGCTAAAACTTTACAAAAACCTCTTATACAAATCCTTCCACTCTTATCTGGATAATAAAATTCTTCTCACTGGGAAAAGGAGTAGCAGTGGTTAAAACTTTTCATTTGCAGGAAGCCAGAAAGTTTTAATAGGACAATCAATATTCAACTTAACAACTTGCAGGAGGAAAAATTAATATTATTTTGAGAAGAAAAATAAGATGACATTATCTAGAACAGGCACATGTAGTGACAGTTGAGAACCTGATTTCAAGGGAAACTACTTTTAAAAAGGAGGAAAGGGGAGGAAATTAAAAAAAAAACAAAAACAAAAAACACCACCACCATAATAGTTATTACAGAAATAGTCTTATAAGTCTCAGTAGCCCTTCACAAATTATGGACATAAGAACTAAAATAACTGATATTCCAAGTTATTTATCTGAGTTATTCTAAGAGAAAAAGGGAACAGAAGAAATCATTACCCCTAGTTCTTTAAAAACCAGGAACTTCTACTTTATTCACAGCCCAACTGCTTACAGCAATGCCTGACATGTCATTGGAGAATTGCTAGATGTGATAAAAATTACTACCCCAAACTTAGAACCATGAAAGAATTATTTGGAAGCAAAATTAACATGCCTTATACTTGCTTTGAAAAACTAAGAAACAACCACCATGATAGTTTGAGCTTGAAAATTATTTATGACACTAGCTCTGATGCATCACTGACCTTCAAATACATAACTGGTACTGTATCAGGTCAGCGAATTCATTAGCAAACCATATAAGGAAATAGGAGAATAATCCAATTTTCTAAACAGTGGTCTAGAGAGGCAGTAGAGTATAATGGTTAGAGCTGGCTTCTGGAGCCAGACTTTCTGTGTTCAGGTCCTGGCTCTCCATCTCATTAGCTGAATGCTCTTGGGCAAGTTACTTAATCTCCTCACTGTACTGCTTCTCCATAGTAAAATGAAGATATTAATAGCAGTTGCCTAACAAATAAGGTAATTAGTTATGAGGCTGTAGAGACTTAGCATACAAGCATTGAGAAGAGTATGTAGGAAGTACTATAATTACACGTCTCTGTCACCACACAATTTTCCTCTAAGGAATCTTATGGCTAGTGGTTTTATATTTACATGACTGTTACTCGACTAGACTGTGAGCATTTTGACACTGATTCAAATTTATACTCCCAGAGCATTCAACAAATATTTGTTGAATGAAAGGGTTAAAAAAAACATAAAGCAGGCTGGGGTAAGAAATAAGAAAGTGAATATCACTGTAAATTTTACTCCCCAGAAAATCAGGTAGAAAGAACAGAATAATGCAGTCAATTTTAAGTGTTAGTTTTAGCTAAGTATGTGTTCACAGTATCAGTGCTAAGTAAGGAGGCTGTGGCCAACTAATGAACAGCTACTAGTTCCACATCAGTGGTTTCTTTCTTCTGTGCCTTTGAGCAAATTATTCTCACAGGTAAGTAAGCCTATCTTTTAGTATGAAGCCTAGGTAGAGATTGAGTGTTTGAAGGTAAAACATGAAAGAAAAAGATCTCTAATTCTGCTCTTTGCAGCAATGCAGTGAAAAGCAGGAGGGTGGGAAATTCCAGCTGACTTTTCACAGTGTTACAATGTGAAGACAGGTTTCTATTCTTTGCTTAGATATCTGGGCAGCAGGCCAAGACCCAAAGGCATGTCTTTGCTCTTGGCAGGACACTAATGACCTTCCTGCAGATGCAGGCTGTCATGCGCATGTGTTACAAAGCATGAATTTAAGTGTTTCTTATTATTGTACAGACATCATATATTCCTTTCTAAGTTTCTAATACATATACATATATTTCCATAATATAAAAGACAAACTATCATTCAGTTTCTTACAGTGTATTCTTGTTGTCACTCTCTATGGATACTCCTTCCTTAAAAAAAAATGCATTAATTGCTTAAAAAGATATTCTTGCTTCACTCTGTGAATTGTCCACATACTGTCCTTAGGAAGCAGGGAGAGTTTGTCATGTGAGAATGTGTCAGTTTCTGCAAACTGACAAGAGGATTCTTACTAATAGACTGTTATCTGTTGTTAGCTTGACCTTCCAAAGATGAGTCCTGGCTTGATATATTGTATATAACAAGGCAATACAAGAATGGGGGCCTGGGATTTCTCTGTGACCTTGGGAAAATCATCTGACCTCACCAGACAATGTTTTTAGAGGAAATTCTCTTGCAACTGTAGAATTCATTATTCCATATTGCAAAGAATAAAGCTATCAGTTAATATTAATTTCTTCCTGATATTTTGGGTCTCTTATTTCCTGTACATGGTTCACTATTAGGTACCCTGGTTTATAGTACCAGGCACATAACAGAAGTTCAATAATGCATTGTTTGATAAATGAAAAATAGTTCATCAGCTATTTAAAGATTCTATCATTAGAACTAATGTCATAAACAATTTTTTTCTAGCTGGTACTATTATGGCTCTTATTTTACAGAATGAGCTTGTATTTTCACCCAGAACCTAAGCTACTAAAAATAAAATTTCAGAATGACTTAATGTCTGTAAGACACAATAAAGTAAAATGGAAAGATTGTAAGACCTTAGGGGGTAAAGTGTTGTGTGACCTTGAGCACATCATGTCGTCTTTGGGTTTCAATAAATTCAATTTTAAGATTTGATGTGAAGAGATCTGTCAAGACCATCTTTAAAAGGTCCTACCCAGTTCTAAAATTATAAAGTCTGAGGTTCTCTGATAATATGTACTGTTGTTTTCTTGCTAAAATTATTAGGCCGGAAGCCACATGAAACCATCATTTAAATGTCTAATTATGTTACCAGACAAAATGAGTAGGAAATCTAGTTTTAACTCTTACAAGGAATTAGCTGATCCCGTTAACCTCCTTATGAAGGCGAAAGAGTAATCCCCTTGTCTTGAAAACATGTCTTTTCATGTTCTGGAAAATTTCTGTCATCCCACATTCCTACCAAATTTTATTGTTTGAGTAACAAGGAAAACAGTCTCAACTATAAATCCATTGATAGAAGCAATTCCTTTCATTCTGATGGCAAATGTCACCTTCAAACAGCATGCAGATTATACCTACGTCAGCGTTCCCACATCTCCCTTTTTCTCCCTTTCAACTGAGACAAGATATGGAGATCTAGGTATCAGATCTTCTGAGTTGATTACATCGTGTAAATTTTAAAAGTGGTGTTTCTAGAGTTTATAACATATCATCAGTAAAGAAGATCTGCCCTATTATTTGGCCAGTGATGCTGTCGCTGAAACACCTGCTGGCACTACAAAAGAAGACCGATGAAGAGTTTTAAATAGTATTTTGTGAAATTAGATATGGCGGAAACAGGTCTCCTAAAAACGTATATCGTAATCTGGAGTACCTGGTAAGCACTATCTTTAGAGTTGAGGGCATCTGTTTTTTTTTTTTTTTAACTCTTTGATGCCAAAAAAACCTTAAAAACTTTGTATGTTGAAGAGGACAAAAAGACATTGGATCCAACCCCCTCCGCCGCCATATCAAATCCTATTTAAAGTCCTTATCAACCCCCTTAATGTGATTTGGAGAAAATCCGCAGTCTCGTATACTCGCTATGCAGGACAGATAAGGTATTCCTCCAGGGATCGAGATCTCTTGCGAGTTCTAAGAGCCCCCTTGGGTGGAAATCAACCCCTTCCCAATTACTGGGTCACTGCGACAGTCATCAGAAGATGAGCCGGGCCTTTCTAAAGGGCGCGAAGGACAGTGCTTTCTACAGCCACTATGTCCAAAACTCTTCAATTGCAGGGACCCCCCGAGAAGGGCGCGAAGGAGGTGGTCAGCAGGTTCCAGGGGCCCACACTCACCATGATTGGGAAATGCGTAGACAATTTCAGCACCTGCAAAACGGGGATCTGGAGTCAGGTCACCTCTACCGTGGAACCGACTAGGGAGGGCGAGCGCTGTTAGTGAGAAAAGGCGCGTAGCTCGACTGCAGCGCCCTCTGGGAAATGTAGTTTATGCCGCTCGGATTTGGTGCAATCTCCTACGTATTTTCTTCAAATATTGAACTACACTTCCCGAGAGCAGAGGTTCGTCTTACAGCCTTCTCCATGCGCTCTTCACCGATTGAAAAGTAGTCCCTGTCTGCCAGCCACTGTGATTGGAGGACTGCCACCAGCGCATGATTTGGTCTCGGGGGAAAGGACCTGACTGATGGCGCTCTGCAATTGGCGGGAGGGGAGGCGTGTATAAATCGAGGGAGGAGAGTCAGACCCCTAGCTACATCCCCCACGGAGACTTTATCCTCCCCCAAGGGTAAACGTGGGAGGCCAGGAGACCTTCCGCTGCGTAAAGCTAGCTCGACCCGGAAACAAAATCTGTTTTAAAACTATTTACACTCAGGAGGGGCGGGAGAAACTGTCTGGAGGACTGGCCGGCTTCTCAAGTTGCTAAGCGACGAGGCGGGAGCGAGCGGCACGCCAGAGCGGCTCGTGCGCACCTGGGGGATCTGAGACTGCAGCTGCGGCTGCCTTGCACGAAGACCCAGAGAGCGCGTAGAGCCCTCCGGAGTCCTCCCGTAGCTAACGGATCCTTGTCCTGGGTAGTGTCCGTGACGAGGTGAGGGGATTTGCTCGGACGTTCCCTCTGAGGCTGCTGGACGCCGTGCGTCTCCCCACCTCCGGAGGCAGGTGAGCCCTGGTCTTAGCGAAAGTGGTTTGTTTTAAAACTTTTGGGTCTGGAATGCGGTTGTGCGCATCCCGCGTTGCCTTTAATGGGGTTCTGATCTGGTGAGCTGATGGCCACGAACTCGCTGGGAGCAGTGTTAGGTCCACAGTGTTTTGAAGGTCGTAGAGTCCTGAAGTTCGCGCCCACTTCCCTGTGTAAGGTGAGGCTCCAACAGCAAAGTCAGATTTAAAAAATGGTAAGCGTCTGCTTCGTGGGAGGCGTGCCGCTCGTCCTGGAGCTAACTGTCCACGGATCTAGCTGTTTTCTAAATCTTCCGTGAATATTGACACTCTTGCACATTGTCTTTTGGAAATTGGACGCTAGTAAACCATCCTGACTTTTAAATTTTGTCAATCTGCATTTTTTATATCCAAAAGAGGAGATTTGCTATAAGAAAAAGGAAAGGACCTTTGCACAAATACAAGCGGGCCGAAAGTTATCCCTGAAAGGTGCAGGTTTGTGAAGAGAAACACCTGCGTAGACTGATTCAGGCAGAGCTGCCCTGTATGCCTTGCTAAGGAAAGGGTAGCAGCAGAGCGGGAGAGACACTGCTTCAAGCGGTTTCACCTGGCAAAACAATTTAAGAGATTTTTCATTTAAGGTTAACGCTGCCTGAAAATTGAGGCCTATGAAATTATGTTTGGTGTGGGTATTAAAAGGGAGATGTGATGTTCTGGGATAGCATGTATGTAATGAAAATGAATGAAATGTATGTTAGACAGTATTGGTGTAATTACTTCTCCCCGTCCCCATCACTGTTGAGTGAGTGTCTGGTGGTGGCTTTTATCTTTATTTCAGTTTTGGAGGATTTGCTGTTGTGAAAAAGAAATATATCTGGCTTTCCAATTTCATCTATCTCTAACATTTATCCTAGCTGAATAACTTTTCTCCTGCTTGAATCACTTTATTCATTTGATTCTCAGATAGAATCCTTTGATTTTTCTCTTGTCACTAGTTAGTTTCCTTTTTCAGTGATTCATCAAGTTGATTTGTACCTTAGACCTCTTGGCATTGAAGTTCCTGTATTCTCTTAGCCACACTTAATCCCTAAGTGATCCAACCTAGTGATTTCAAAATAACACCTCAATGTCAGAAAACTCCCAAATTTGTGTTTACTCCTAAATTCCAGACTCCTCTATTTGTTATTTTTAATTGGTTTTCTAATTGCCTCATTTATTTTAAAAATTTCTACTGCATACAGAATCACATGGTTTAACATGACCTGGGATTTCCCCAGTTCTAAAATTGTGGTTGTGAATGGGATTGTGAAATCTCCAATAGTAGAATAATAAAGTGCTGAGCATGGTTTAGATGAGGACTGGTTTAATAAATTTCCAGTTTAATAACCTGTGTTCACCTTAGGGAAGAGTTTTAGGAGGTGGCATTGTTAGGCTCTGGGGATTCAGAAGTTGGTATGACACAATAGTCTTTTTAGAACCTCCAGGATAGCAGGGAACACTGATGGGAAAACCCATAATGATGATATGTAATGACTAGTAATAGGTAAAGAGTAACTTTGGGCTGCTGTCACCACAAAGGAGGTTCTGCTTGAATGAGAAGTGAATGTTTCTGGCAGGTAGCTAAGGTAGAAACAAATTTGCAAAGCTGCAGGTCATATTTTGGAAGCAAATGAGGCAACATGCAAAGTTCCTGATTTTTTTTTTTAATGGAGACTCTAGAACATCATTGTGTAAGACACTGGTACAGCCACTAGTCACATGTGACTGATGAAGTTTAAATTGGTTAACATTAAATTAAAAAATCCATCTTCTCACTCAGCTAACTCCATTTTAAACCCTCAGTGTGAAATGGTATCAAACATTTTAATCATCCCAGAAAATTCTATTGCTCAGCTGATCGTCTTTAGTGAAGCAAGACATCACTCAGTGCAGGAGCACCTGCAGCTGCAACATCTTTGTTTGCTATTTCTTTGTCATTGAGTCTCGATGAAGAGCATAGCTGTTTGTGATATGACTGCATAAGCAGTGTCCTCTCAGAGATATGAAACCCAACTCTTGTCTTAAACTATTTCCCTTTTTTTTCCTGCAAGAATTTACATTAACATTCTTGGTGTGTCTGTTTAAAAGAATACACATACTGCATTGTCCTGGATCTTGAACTAGACTTAGCGTCGAAAACCCACATCCCGGGGAAAAAGGAACTCTCCTACACTACTAATAGGAGTGCAAAATGATACAACCACTACAGAAAGCTGGGTGAGGATTCCTTAAATTACTTAAAATACAGCCAGCCATATGACCCAGCAATTCCACTCCTTCACATCTACCTAAAGAACACAAAAACATCAAGTCAAAAGGATGCCTGCACTCCTGTGTTTATTGCAGCACTACTTACAATAGGTAACATATGGAAACAATCCAAATACACAAAAATAGATGACTGGATCAAGATGTAGTATATATACACAATGGCAGACTGTTCAGCAATCAAAAAGATAAACTCATGCCATTCACAGCAACATGGGTGGAACTGTAAAGGATTATGCACAGTGAAATAAACCAGAAGGAATAAGAAAAATATTGGATGGTTTCACTTATAGGAGGAATTTAGGGAAACCAAATAAGGGATCAGAAAAAAATAGCGAATAAAACCCCAAAATTAACAAGCAACTATAAATCAGAGACATTTTGTAGGGGGTGGGGGAGAGCACAAGGGACTATGGCAGTGGTGCAGGGGTGAACTGGTGGTGGGACTTCTACGGGGATTACATCTGAGAGGAGGAAGCAGACATTGTACAGAAATGAACAGTGATGTAAAATATATAAATAAATTTAAAGAGAAAAAAAAGAAAGCCCACATCCTGAAGAGCAGTTGAGAAAGCAGTGTCTGAGTGACACTGAAAAGTACTTGTCTACTGCTTTTTACTTTTCTGGAATATCTGTCCATACCACATTTTAAGTAAATGGAAGAGGCTGTACTACATGTAGAGGTTTGAAATAGAAGAGCAGATTCAGAACCTCCCAATAATGGGGGTGAGAAGGAAAAGAAGTCTTGTAGGAGCATATTTATATTTTAATGTGTGCAACAGATATGTCTTCACATGCAATTTTTATGCATTCTAGCATTAGGGTATATTTGCTCCTTATGGCCTATAGTGAGTTCATCCTATTAAATGTCTAGCTGATTTTATAATGTATAATATTTTCAGTTTGGATTAAGTAGACAAGGTGTTTGTAAATCAGATTTTATAATTGTATATCTAAGGAAGGAGTAAGAAGAGGTATAAGTGAAAAACAGTCAGAGGGCTTTGAATGTTATGGTAAAGAAAATGCTAGGTATTCATTTTATTTTTTGTTCAACTGTATTCATCACACAGAATACCAATCCTTTCCAGAGATAGTGTTCACATACATCATACACACACACCATCGTGTATATAGATACATTTTGCGATTATACAAAGAAAACCACCTGAGTAGTAGTAATAAATCAATTGATGCTTTCTCTATTTCTTACTAATTAGATTATGAAGATCTGTATTATGTTACTATGAATGCTTTACATGTAAAAAACAACTGCTGTGTTAGCACAACTATATCTACATTCTTGTGTCCCAACACAGGTACAGTTATGCCTATTGTTTAAAAAAATTAAGGCATATAAAAAGACTGTAGAATGGATCAACGTACGGCTCATAAGAAATAGGAAAGAGTGGAAAGAACTAGACTTTAGACAGTCAATGTAAGAATGGACTGGATGAGAGGTGGGAATAGAGAGGGAAAGAGCCACTGATTATAAGGAACTAATATACTGAAGTGTGAGTTAAGAAAAAAGTCTCAGCCAACATATTCATTTGCTTTAGACTTAATATACTTTAGCCAGCCTGCTTGCTACTTTTCAAACAACCTTCAGCTTTCTGCCTCCGTGCTGTATGTATGCTTTTTTTTTTTTCCACAAAAGTAACCCTCTATTTCTGCATGTTAAAATCTATTTCTCCATACTTTTCAATTGAGTTGGTCTTGGTGATGACTTCTCTGGACTTCTTTTAGTGCCGAAAATTTCAAACATATGAAGAGAGAGTATAATCTACTTCAACAATTAACATTTTGCCAGTCTTTTTTGTCTACTTCTCTTCCCCTTTTCCTCAGCATTTTTCAATCATACAAAAAAGAAAAAGCTGTGTAGTGAATACTGAACTTACAGTAGTCTAAGTTTAGTCAAAATACAGAACCTATTTGGGTGATTTGAAAATTTAAAACGATAAATTGCTAACTAGAATAAGGAGGGATGGCTAGCTACCAAAAAGTATAAAATGTGAGTCTAGTGCTAACAGAAGTAGTAGGTACAGAAGAACAGTTACTACTTTTAAGATGGGGAAGAAAGACTGGAGAGGGGAGCCAAAGCTTGGATTCAGACCCTTAAGGAGGGTTTGTCTAATGATCTACAGAAGTGCCTATTTTCAGGAAGGAGACTGGGGTTAGAAGAACACCTGGAATTTGTTGCCTCAGCAGATAAGAACAATCACCAAGTATTCTGGGCTTCCATGTTGAATAGATAAGAATGAAAGACCAGGATCCAGAAGGAAAGGGTTTCTGCTGCTTTCACCTTAGATGGTCACTCCACTGCTCTTTCTCAAACTGGCAAAGGAGAAATGTGTTGGGTCTATTTCAAGTGTTACTGAGCATCACAAGGAAAGTTAGATTTGTTGCTAAGAGATAATAAACTGATAATTAGCACAACCACCTATTAACTGCCTCACTTATGGACTTGTTAAGTGTTTTACTGTATTTACTTTGTCGTGTATCTCTGCAAGTATACAGTCACATGAAATCTTTTTTTGAGTCCTCAGTCTATTGATCACTCTGCTTTACATTTTGAAATTTAAAATTGTGAATATAGTTTATGCAGGGAAAAAATTAAACTTGAATGGAAATCTCTTAGTGGAGAGCATATTTTCCTCCCCTGGTTAGTTTATCTGTGGGTGAATGTTACTTATAGTTGC